TAAGAAATCGTCTGTTGCTAGGTACCTAACTGCTTTAAATTGTGAAATATTAAACTAACCATGAACGTTCCTAATTATTCTTGTGGAATATAATTCTTATCAAAACAAAATATTTTTATATTGCAGTTTTACCAGCAAAAAAAAAGTCTACTGAAGTTTCGTCGCTGGTAACATCACATGTGGTTTTATCGATGAAAAAAGGTAATCCTTTGCACTGAATTGAATTTTGAAGTATTAAACTAAACATGAACTTTATTGATTATTCTTGTTGAACATCATTCTTGTCATAAAAAGGTTTTTGAATTACGGTTGTAGTTTTATCAGCAGAAACAAAAAATAAATAAAAGTGATTCATTTTTCATGTTTTAATTAGTTTGTGACCAATACTGATAAAATGCGAGTCTACTGAAATTTTGTTACTGGTAAAACCACATGTGGTTTTATCGTTGAAAAAAATCTTTTGCTCTGAATTAAACTGAAATATTAAACTAAACATGATTGTCGAATATCATTTGAGAAATGGTTTTTTCTATTTTTTTTTCGAATTACGCTTGTATTTTACCAGCATAAACAAAAGTTCAAAATAGATTATGTTTACTTCACTTATTACATTTTAACCAATCGGTTGTCATATTTTAATTCATTTTGGTCCAATCTTGTCTATTATATTAACACAACTAAAGTCTACTGAAAATTGTCTTACGGTAAAACCACATGTGGTTGAAACGCAACTGACTCATTGCGTTATAACTAATCAAATGTCATGTTTTAATAAATTTTTCAGCAGTCAGGTCATTATTATACTGACGATTCCGCTGAAGTTTCATAGCTGATAAAGCCACGTGGTTTTATGTACCTATGGCAGAAAATAAACAGTTGCTATATGACTGAATTTAATTTGCAAATATTAAACTAAAAATGATAGTTCGTAATGATTATTCTTGTCGGATACACCAACACAATGGTCTTGTCAAAAGATGTCAATTTTTTCTCGATTTTGTTTTTCCGAAAGGTAAAAATCACTCATATAAATATGTTCTCTACAGTTTAACTGTAGGGGTTTCATCAAATAAAAAAGAAATAAAGATTACACTCGTTTTTTTATCGGGAAAAACAAGCTGGAAAAAATTTCTGATAAAACCACATATGCTAGAAATCTATACAACAATATCTTCTGTTCGTTTACAAAATTAGAGGGTTTAGCAATGAAATTCATACATTTTACTGATAATTTCAGTAATTAGAACAATATGTTTTATTATTGACTTTACTTGACAATTTTGTTGTTTTCAAAATTTTGACAGTAAGAACTCGATACTATTCTTTGACTTAGTATTCGAGTACTCACATTGAAAATAGGTTCAACAAGGCAATAGCAAAACAGCAATANGAAAAACAAGCTGGAAAAAATTTCTGATAAAACCACATATGCTAGAAATCTATACAACAATATCTTCTGTTCGTTTACAAAATTAGAGGGTTTAGCAATGAAATTCATACATTTTACTGATAATTTCAGTAATTAGAACAATATGTTTTATTATTGACTTTACTTGACAATTTTGTTGTTTTCAAAATTTTGACAGTAAGAACTCGATACTATTCTTTGACTTAGTATTCGAGTACTCACATTGAAAATAGGTTCAACAAGGCAATAGCAAAACAGCAATATTAGCAGCATGGCATCACAATGTATGTCGTCGTTCCACGAAACGATTATAATCCTTGCACAATGTAGTTATTGACTAGTAATAATAAAATAACGAGTATATTGCTCGTATAATTCGGAGCATTCCCGATAGCTTACCAGGAAACTGCTGTTGTGGACAAGACGTGAAAAGGAGCGTCTACAATTTGTAACAATTATCGCCAGTCCATCCGCGACTGTCGCCGATAAAAATTATCCATCACGGAAAATTAAAAATAATTGATATGGTGTTTGTTAATAAATAATAAGTAAATAATGTGATTCAATTTATTTCTTCTCCACCGAGTGTTAAATATTAATTATTATGGGTGTAAAGATCAGAACCACAAATGATAGCGTATTATTATGAGGTCATTCCCTATCTCGGTTATTTGTTAAAAAATAAGCAATTTAATCTCCCTTAAAAGATAACCGGGACCATAAAATTATCATGAAAGAGCTCTGCCGACGAAAACAACTCTGACTTTTTATTTTTCTCTAATTACAATCTCTAGGGGACTGTAGCTGAATTTGGCACGTTCACATAGGACATAACAGTTACCTTTATTTAACAAGTCGTAGAAAATAAATAGTAGGTATACATATACAGAATTACAAAATTAATCACAATGTTCAAATCGAGTGGTGTTGATATCCAAAACCTAAAAACCTGAAGCAGATAAAAACCTTGAGTGGCAAAATTTTAAAAAGTCATTCGAAGTTTAGTTCATAGTTTATCAATATTATTCAATTTTCCTGCTACACACAAGGTTTTTAGAATTAATTGTTCTAAAGAACTCAAATTCAGACTAGACCATTATTTTGTTTGTATATTACCTTAATCGGCAATATACAGGGTGACTGCGCTTTAAATTATGAAATTACAGGAATTGATTCCTTATTGCAAATAAGAATACAGTGTGTTTCTTTATATTTAGTCACTATACATACAGCTGTTATGCTTGAAGAAAAAAAATTAACATCGCAAATGTGTAAAACCACATTATACATTTTGACGTATTTGAATAGAAAACATTTAAGGGAAACATACTACATCGATAATGACTCTTAGCTTATATGTCTATTGCCATAAGAGACAGACCGAACAATTTTTATATCACTGTAATTGTTACAAATAAATATATAAAAATATACAGGATGTTACATTTTGATACGTCGTATCGTATCTCTATTTTTTACACCTTACCTGCAGCTGTTATTTTTGGAAACAGGAAAAAATTGTTATATACAAAAATTGTACGAATGTTTATGAAGCACCACAATTTACATCAGATTATACAAATGGACTCTGCAAATATGTCGAAATGAACCAACTTTAATTTTTTTAAATGGTACACTAAATTTTTGAGTATTTAAGCAGAACACCTTTTTGCGACAACAGTGATTGAAGGTTTTTTCTTGTGGTAAACTAGATATAACTAAAATAAATCAATATCTCTTTTATTATTAGAGATACATCCATCAAACTCTATATCACTGAAATTTTAAACATGTGTTCTAAATAATATATTAAAACATACATGTATAAAAAATATACTTTTGCGATGTCAATTTGTATGATTTGATACGAAATAATTCGTATAACTTTTATATTTAATCCGTTTTTCTATCTCTAAAAATTAATGTGCAAAGGTTAAGGTTAGGTCAGGTGCAAAATATATATGAATGCAGTGAACCCTATTTTAATTTACAAACTTATTTAAGGATGAGTTAAAATACTGGAAAAAGTGTATATGTGTTATGTTATATCTTAGGAATCTATAAGCAAAGATTGCAATTGATACAACTTCTTTTGATGGTAAAATTTTAATTTCATCACTTTAGGCAGTGGCGTGCCGAGATAGGGCTCCTTTTTTTGGAAAAAAGTACGTCCATGACTTTTTCCGAAAGAATAATGATAAATCAAAAAACATGGGTATTTTTATATAAAATTTTTCCAAAAATGGATAATAAGGGGGGAGATATGCTCCTTTAAAAGGGAATGGGAGATATCATGTTTTTTTAGTTAAAGTGTTTCCAGATATATTATTCATATATTAAATCTGGTCATTAATTTAAGCAGTATTATTCATCTCTCACGTCATTCTAAGGATTGGTTTTTAGGCAGTGTCTATCACTATTTCAATATCAACCTCTTTATTTTTTTCCGTTCTATTGCAGTTTTTCAAAATATCCCGGAAAATGGTATATATATCCTCCTTTTTATCAGTTTTCACAAAAAATACACCCTCAAATAGTGAACTTCAATTAAAATGTTAAGATTTTACGTCTTTTATTGCATTTTGAAATGGTATTTACAAATAATAACTTTAGTTACAGTCCCTACAAATTTGTTGAGATAGAATTCCAAGAAAACAATAAGCCAATAAAGTTCTGTTATCAGAACTACTGTAACAATATGCCACGGCAGGGACGTGCCTTGAAATTTTTCATTTTCTTTGACTGGGAATTAAATTCCTTTCTTTTAATTTTCACTTGCATTGATTTATTTTAATAAAAAATTACACCAAAAATGCACAGGATAATACACTTACGAAGAAACACGCCTCCGTAACTGAAAAACACAATATGCACTGCAAGCTGCTACGATGAACGCCACGCCGCCAATATCTTTCTACCTGGGGTGTCGCAGGAGTCTTCTTGGAATTCTATATTAACGAATGTCGTACGGACTATTACACCAGGAAAATTAGCGAAAATAAAAGAGAAACTCGAAAAAAATCCTATCCGCGATATTATTGTAAAATTGTCTAAAGGAACATAATACATCTCTCATCTCTTGAGTCAAACAGTTTACTTAGCTTACCTTCTCTTTAAAGGGCTCGTGAGTCGTTAATTTTCCACATTTTACGTCGTAAATTGTATTTTGCGAAAAATTCAAGTCTTAATATTTATAAACAATTGCGCTACGATTTAAAAAAAAAATCTTATCTTGGCTCCTGTTGGTCGTAGAGGGTACTTTTTTTATTTTAAAACTGTATTTTTTTGCCAGCTATCCATTGCATNGTGTGGCAAGTCGGTAGGTATTAAACAGAATTATTCTATTTGCACAAAAAAAATTCTGCCATTTCAATTTGAGCATACTCTTCAAATATACTTTGTAAGCACCCTGTATATTAATATGTATTTTGAAATCACTATGCAAATTGAATTTTGGCATAATTTATGAGAGTTTACGATTCGAATCACCCTGTATATACAAAAACCTACGCACGTGGATATCAACAGTGTATTGCATCTAAACGGAACACTCACTCTCGCCCAATCGACGGTGCTCGCTTCCCACCCCCGCCTAGGACATGTGCGGGCTGGAAGACCGTATGCTGCCGCCCCCCTGCGGGGAGGCGAGGTGAGGGGGCGGGGGCGGCTGGGGCAACAGCCCGAGGGGACCCATGGGGGGCCGCGCGCCCAGCAGCGAAGCCAGAGGATGCGCGCCGGGGGCGAAATAGCCCTGCAATGCGGGGTGAGGGTAGAGCGCGTGGGGGTGGCGCGACAGAGAGGCCATCTTCAGCTTCTCCAGCTCGGCCTCCTGCAGCCGCTTGGCTTTGGCGCGGCGGTTCTGGAACCAGATCTTCACCTGGAAAAGAAAAAGATTGTTCGGCGGTTTGTTTAAAAAATTGTGTACTGGGCGTCTCATGATAAATGTACAGATTGTTAGTTATAAGTGAGATGGAAAAGTTGTAGATATAAATTAAAAGTATTTTGTGATGATACTGAATTTTAAAAAAGTTATGATTTTTTTTAATGGAACACTTTTTCAAGATTACAGTGATATAAGGTTTGAAGGGTGTACCTCTAATAATAAGAAAGGTATCATCATCAGAACATTAAGCTCTCCAGATGATGCAGTTACTTACTAAGTATTTGCCAAATTTAAACAAATGCAGTTTGATGGGAACGACCGAATGATCGAGAACGCAACATGTATGCAGGTTTACCGGAATATGCATATTTGTCAAACGTAAACAAATGTCGTATCACGTAGATGGTGCATATCGATGCATTCGAAGCAAGTGAATTTTATTCTCTCAGGAGAAGGTAAATAGAAATAAGTTAAAGGAAACGAATCTGCCTGAATATACGAACAGCAGCATCAACATTTAAAGCAAATTCTGCTGCGTATTGCTCTATGCTTTCGTAAAAAAAAGATTGGCATGAGTATCTGCTAATATTTGCCCCATTTATATTTGGTTAACTTTTCGCAAGTTTATTAATACATTTAGTTGAATACGTCTTATTACTTTTATATTTATTTTTATTTATTATATTTATTTTTGTGCTCAATGTTCCATTTATTATTTACACGTTGGCCTTGGTTTGAGTTGAGAACTTAAGGTCAATGTCAAATCGAAGGTCACCAACATATTGGTTTCCTTCAATTATATCTGAATTTTTTTATAGGACCCAATCCTGAAAAGTTGTCGCTGGGTTCGATTTTTTGAGACACCCTGTATAACAGCAAAGTAGGTCTACCCGGGCCTAAATGATTTAAGGAAGTTTTGGATCAAAATTTGTGGATATACGAGGTGATTTATTTCGGTTATGGTTTTTTAATCATATATACAGGGTGCTCATTTCACGAGTCGCACTATTGAAATCTCGGTTATTTTAAGAAACATGAAGAAAAATTTGACACATCTTGAACGAAAAACTAAACAAAAATATTGAGTTCAAAAATGCAAAAATCCAAAGCAGAAGCTGTAACTCTCCATCTCAATAGGTGCGACGGCTAGTGCAGATTTGTCTTAATAATTCTCAATTAAAAAAATCAATCTTTCTGTTTACGATTAAAAAATTAAAAACGGAAATCAATATTTTCGTTTACTTCGATGACTTCAAAACTAAAAAGATGGGTTGAATTTCTCTCCTGTAAAGTTATTCATCATTAAATTTTGCATTTTTTCGTAACTTGATCGGCTTATTCATCTCTCAGAGAAATATATACCTATTATTTTTTGTCATTAGTTCACATACTTGCAATGTGCTATTTGAAATAATAGAAAAAATATTCAATGAAAGTTTTTCCAAATAAAAATGACTGATCCATTTGGGATGAGGGGTTATTTATTCCTCTTTTCTTTCAATGGTGGCAAAAATACCAAATCGAATAAAAAAAACTATAAAAAGCTATTTTCATTAGCACCTATGTTTTCTTTTCTATAAAACTGTAGAAGTAAGTCATTGTACGATTAATTGAAATAAGAAAATATTAACTTTAACTCTTCGCATTAATAAAACAGTAGATACTGAATAGCTGTTAAAAAAAATATGTTACTACAATTTCATTCTTTCTTTCAAAAATTGGAGAAGCTAACATAAAAATAAAAAGCTTCGTTTTGTCATTTCATTTTTTCTGGATTATGTACGTATTTTCACTCAGTATGAAACATTCGAAAAAAATATATCTATAGGGTGAACCACATGGTATTTTTTCCTATAACTTTTTTCAAAAGTTTGTTGGTTGTCGATGGTGTATACCAAAAGTTAATTAGTTACCATAAATGGTTAAAATGGTCTATTCATGTTGATTTTTCCTTAAAGTTGACTTTTGTAATTTCAATCTGAGTATTACCTAGGCGATATGATTAAATTTTTTCATCTTGACAACTACCTGTGTTTCTGTCAGTCGCAATGAACTGGAAAATTCCGCCCTCTCTGCTATGCTAAGGTACTGCTTGTCCCTGAACTTCTTTTCTAAAGCTAGGAGTTGCTGAGTGGTAAACGGAGTCCTGGGCTTCCTATTTGGTTTGTGCTTCCTCAGGTTACACTTTAATTTAGGGGGCTCCCCGTTGGAATCCACTGGAAAGAAAAGACCATCGTAAAAAAACGACAGAGACAGCTCAGAAACAACTAATATCAGAATTAAGAAAAAGGTTGTGAAATTATTTTGTCAATATCTAGACTTTTTTTAGTGACCATCAAGAAGTTGTTAAACCTTAGTCACCAAAACAACTAAAATAAAATAAACGATACAATGTTTTATTTTATCTCTACCTCATACTGTCTTTTTTTGGGTATTTGCTAGCTATGAAAAAAAATTTAAAAATGATGAAATAAACCCTTACACCAAAAAGGATTAGCCAAAGACTATTTTTACGAAAATAGGTTTGCCCAACTAAAAATCACACTGAAAATAGCAGACAAATAAAAAATACACATCACTATACAGTGTGTCCACGCATGGAATCAAAAAGGTGGAAAACTTTCTAATATTTCATTTTATGAAAAATAGTTTCTGTTTAAAAATTCGGTATTTGTTCAAATGAAGAAAAAAATGTAATCAAAAAAAGTTAAATTACATCTACAATATCGTAGATCCTTGTTGCTTTATAAAAGAAAAAAGCAAGTATATAACAGAATAATGAAAAAATTCAAGTTTATTTCATTACTTTTTTCATTTTCCCCGCAAGTGACAAAATACGCAAATAAATAAGAAAAAAATTGAAACTGTGCCACAAATAAGTAACTTCATACAAAATGTCTATCTTGTTAACATATTCATAAATGTACATAATAATTTACAAGGTATATATTAATTATTATTATATATTGGAGCACTGAAATTTAAATAATCATCGGGTTGAATACACAATTAAGTTACCATAATTAAATAATTTATCAAGCCACTATGTAACCACGGACAAAAAAAGTATATATAAAATTAGAATTATACCGCAAACTGGCTATTAAAATTTTTATTGGCCATTCATTATAATATTACATTCGTTTGCGTTGTTAGACTTGGAATACCTGAAAGAATATATAAATGAATATAAATAAATATGAGGCTTTAATAGCTTCGTCCAATATTAATAACATTATTAATCAAGCATTTGTAGTGTATTATTAAACTATTAATTGGTATTAAAAACAGATATGTCAAAAGCATAGGTAGACTGCACAAAATTAAATCAGTTGCATTAAGGTAACATAGTTTGCTTGATTTTATTGCAAATTTAAAAAAAATACAACAAAAGTTTACCTCCAGTATTTACATTTCAAAAAATATGTTGTACTTAAGTGTATTTGTATTAATTTTGTTTTATGTTCATGTAAATATTTACATATTTAAATTTTAAGGACGTACTTTGTACATTAAAAGTCATCAATTCACACTAGACCTCAACATGTATGAGCGAATTGATGAAATGAGGTGAAATGATTGTAACAATTATGATAGCGAGACCCATATCTCCACTAAGCAAAATAATTTTGAAACCGATGATATTGCGGGAAATAACTTCTCTGCGAACTAATACTCCGACCAGTATTGAATTAGACTCTCAACATTTAGAAAAAAACTGAGATCATTCGTCAGCCGAATCTACCAGACATATACCGATATCGAGCCTATTGTTATGGCATACTGATGAAAAAAGTAAGTTCGAAACTGGTACATGCCTGGTGGGTTCAACTGAGGAATGACTCTAGCTCTTTACTAGATATTACGGGTACAATTCAAAGCTAGTCGGAGCTTTAGTTCGAAGAGTAGTTGTTTCTCGCAGTATCAACTCGAGAACACATTGTTTTATTTTACATTTTCACCCTATTTCTTTCATCTGGCAACAATAACATCCACACTGATGCCAGTCCTGAGGTTTTCCTTTANTAACGCTTAATATTATTCAGTCCTGCTAAGTAAATCAATTCTTTTATACAAACATTTGACAATTTATGGTGACTTGACATTCTTGACAATTATGTGTTAATTTTAGAATAATTTTTAAATTGGTTAAAATTTCACAGTTTTATAATTTAATCTCAAGTTAAAAGACTTGAAAGCTTGACAATTAAATAATACAAAATGTTCTATAAATTAAACCTTCAACCAATCTTCTGACTGCAACCTATTTTTTTTAAGTTTTGAATACATTATTTATTTCTCGTTATTTTTTTAACTACCAATAATGTTGATGATTATGTTATTATACACTTGTTAAACAATTTTAAAGAATAAAGTTTAATTTAATTTAATTATGTATTTTTATAATGGGGTATTTTCTTTCAATCGAAATGAAAGTGAAAACTTTCATTTTTGTATACTTAATATATATTTTTTTATATTTTTTAAAACAAAAATTATTATAAAAAAAATTATATAAATATATAAATTATGACAGTCAGTAAAAAACAGTTTATTTAATTTTAAAATTTTAGTCTCCATTCGTGACCTCATTAAGTGAAAACTAGGGAATATTTATAATACTCACATACGTATAGAGGTACATATACCAATAAATACACATAATATTTAGTTTGAGAAAATGCAATAAAAAACATTATCTTGTGCCTCTGCAAATATTTACAGAAATATGTTACCATTTATCGTTTACTGAAAAGCTCAGCTCTATGATCTATACTAAAATCTTAGACCTTATATATTTACGTAATATGATCTAGGACTGAAACAAAAATTATTTTGAAAGGGTACCTATTAGTAGTAGTATTTAATAAAAAAATTTTCTATTAATTTCTGTAACTCTAACACCTTTAGAATAAAATAAAATTAACGTGTTCTAACTAAACTAAATATATGCGACATATCTTTATTTAGAGATTTTATAGAAAAAAAAAATGTTGGTCAATCTGACTTGACCTAAAACTATCGAGGAGCATCAAGCGAGATACACTTTTTTT